CCCCCACCTCCCCCCCCCCCCCGCCCTCTTCGATCGAAAACCCTGCAGGATGCGGAAGAAATTGGGGAAACGAAGAAGTTGGAAAAAGGCTGAGTACTTACTGCCGTCGTATCGTCGAGTTTTCGTTTCCATGCATCACTACGTTCGATCAGGGAGTTCCACTGTTCGGAGAGTTTGTTCACCTCACGTCGAATACTTCGGGTTAATTCGTGGGCCTGCTCCTCGGCACTTCTGTAACCCCTTGAGTCGCCGTCAAGTTCTCGACCTATTCCAACAAACGAAGGTAGAGAGAATGAGAATTAAAAAAAAAACAAGGAAATCGAAGAAGCTGAGTTCACTCTCGTCCGAATATTTCCATAGATTTGGATAAATGGGTCACGAATTACTGGAAAATCAGTAATTCTGGAAAAAAGTTTCTCATACTTTTTGCTGACAGTTTACCCGCTGTTTTCGCCATTGTTTTATTTGGGGTGAAGTGAGCGAAAGGGTGAGGTTTTGATAAAAATGATCGAGCTGGGTCCAATAAAGGATAAAGTATATAGGTAGAATGGTTGGTGCGCTTCAAATAGCCTGCACTCTGCCTCGCTATGATCATAAATCAACATAACGCAGAGCAGATATCGTTGGTAGCCCAGTGAAGGGGAGAGAGGGGCTGGCTGGCTGAATCGCAATTCGCTATCAGAGCTAAACATGCACGTAAAAACTTAACGGATGATACGATGCGTGATTCATAGGACAATTAAATATTCTACTATTGGAAACACCCTGTACCTGCTCCATTACTCATTCATAAACTGACTCTGTTGTTTCTATTGCATCGAATATTTCCACTGGATTTTGCTTCACGTTGAAAGTACTTCTTGGATCGTAATGGCCATGTGATATGGGGTTTACTTTTTTGGGGGTCTTTGTCTTAAGAGTCTTAAGAATAAGCTTTGGCGTCCGCTTTCCGATATATTGGATAAATCATTAGGAAACTGGTGTTTTCGAGTTACTTGTTTTCTGATGCTTGTAGCGAGTCTGAAAAATCGAGACAGCTCCTCATGATCTACTTTATGTATTGGAAAACGTATGCTTCGTTCTATTCTTTGGAATCTGGAGAATTTTTCAGAAGAAGAAAAGTTCAAATCGGATGAAAGTTGCGGTTCAAAGAACAATTTTAAGGTCGAAAGGACGGGGTAAAATAAGTTGTGTTCAGTTTTACGCTTCCTCTTCCCCTTAATATGCGCAAAGAAAAATTTCCAGGATCGCGGGAAAATCTTTGTCGTAATAGAATCTAGCAAAAAGTCCGGAAATATTCTGAAATTTTCAGTTATTCTGAGCAGGTTTCCTTTAAAAATTACACAAAAATGTTCTATCTGTGTGTAATTTTGGAGTAAATCTAGGATAATTATATTTGAATCAACTCACACTTTCGGTTATTTCAAGGAGATATTGGCTTTTGAAATTAGAACATTCTTGTTTTTGATTTAATGATTTCTTCCGGTATGAAATTTATGAAATTATATTAGAAGTTTCCATAATATCTGTGAAATTTTCATGTAATTTAGGACTCCTTGGTTATCTAAAGTGTATCGCCTGACACCTTGACACAACTAACGTTCAATAATGTTCAATCAATCCTGAACATTATCCCTTTCTAATGTTCTCAGTTTACTACATAACAGAAAACTGCTTATTCTCGAAATTTTGAACCAGTTTCCTACAACAAGTTATTGATAATTTCCAAAACCAACGCACATTGACTTTTAGAAGGTGATGATGAAGATCAATGTGATTCGGCGTTGAAAAATACTGATAACTTTTTGTAGGAAATTAGTTTGAAAATTTTGAGTCAAAGACCTTCTATCTCCATTCTAAGAGCACAAATGTTTTGCTTTATTTCAGGAACATTTTCCACTTGCAAATTTGTCTCAAAAATTAAGTCAATAATTCCTTATTATAAGGACAAGGGATATAATGTAGAAACCATAAGCTTCAGAAAATCAGTAACTTTATTTGGAAAATTAGAACCTTTTCTTCTCTGTGTAAAGCATTAAGAGTAATCTGGCTACTATTATGATAACGAGTAATTACCACAGAGACCGTTAAAGATATTGTCTCATACACTTAATTTAATCCCTCGGAATGAATGAATTGCGAAAGCCCTTGGGAATCTGTGATTCTATTTTCGTCGGAGAATTATCCGCAGAATTGAGTCAGGTTGGAGTAAGTAAATGCTGATCAACAAGCCGCGAAAAATCAATGAGCTGATTCAACATTTGGCGATCTTCAGGATGAAGAGTTGAGGGAGACTGGAAAGGAAAGAATGGGGATTTGTTTTTTTTGGTTGGGATAGTCGAGGTTGGGGGAATCGAATTAGGCAGTCGTGCTCTCCATTTGTGAGCCCATTGGTAATCTATTCTACTGGCGCCTGGTGAGTTTTCCAAGCACGTTCGCAGTGTGCTTCTTTTCTACTCGTGGCGGGCTTTAACAGTCTTATGTTGCATTTGGGGACATCACATTTCACTTTCCCTGGGTTTTTTTTTCTCGGTTCTTTCCATTATAGCCAATTCGATAGTATAATGCTCGTCTTGAACTATCGTTGTTGTAATTAGCTCTCCGTATTTATTCTTTTCTGGGCAATTAACTCGATTGTCTTCAACCGGACAGTGGATACGTGTAGCAGATTAAAGTAACTAATATTTAACTTTGCATTCAGAACTTTGTTTTAATAATCTTGCCGTGAATGGAGAACCTTGTCCATTTGTAATTATCAAGCTTGTGATATTCTGGGAATAACTCAGGGGAATTTGAAGTCAACGAAAATATTTGGTTAATGATCACTTATCGAATGCGTAGCCTAGGACATTTTTCAGACAGTGATTATCTAGTCTATTTCGAAAGTGATTGGCCTGCATGCAAATGTATTCAGAATGGAATTGTACGGTATGATTTATAGAAATTAATCATTAGTTCTTATTTATCTTTTTTTGAGCCATTAACTCGATTGTCTTCAACCGGACAATGAATATGTGTAACAGATTGAAGTAGTTAATCTTCAACTTTGTACACGGGGAAAAGTGAATGGGTTACTTTTGTATGGTAGAGGTTACCATAAATTATGGTAAAAAGTTTTTAAGTCAATCTCAATAGTAATTTTTACTATGTTCAACAGTAAAGCGTACTATGTTGTATAGTAATCAATACCATTCGAACATGGTAGGCATTACTATACAATATAGCAACGACAACCATTATTATAGGAGAGATTACCATGTGGATGGTAATCAGTACTATTTAGACATGGTAATCTTACCATGAGATTACCATGTGGATGGTAATCAGTACTATTTAGACATGGTAATCTCTCCTTTTCTCTATATCGTAGAAAATACTAAAAATAGCCATCAAGGCACAATTAAAAGTGAATTATCGGTTACCCATCAACAAGTCTTTACCACCACCTTTTCTCCCTGGTCCAGCTCTTAACAAGAGATTAGAAAAGATCCAAATTATCGTTATTTTCTGCCAGTTCTCCCGTCCAATCGATCTCGAGATGTTACAATAGTATGTTCTCCCAATTATTTGGGACATGATATCAGGGAAAACGTAATATTGATGATGCCGACCGAGGCTGGTCCTCAATTACATTTGATCAATATCGTAATCCTAGAGCCAAATAATCAAGTTATTCTTGTTATTCAACAATTACAAGAATACTTTTTTGAAAGACATCCAATCCTAGAAAATTGATATAAATGATAAGGTGGTCGACATTGACATTTCGACAACTGAAATTTTGTATCCTGTCGTATATAGCTACCTCCGGGAATGGAAAGCAATACGTTCCGAAACGTTGGGTCTAAATTCTCACGCAAAGTTGTTGAGTTTAATTACTCACATTT